ATGTGGATTTGAACCCTTGTGCCTGGCTCTAAACCAGCTCATACTCTAGATTGCCTGTGATTGCATTTCTTTTCCCCTTTTGGGAAGAATGAACCACATTGTCAGTACACAGTGCTGGTGAGGAGGTGGGAGACAGGCATTGTTGCTGGAGCGAGTTATTCTACTAGCTCTCTTTGGGATTTGGGTACTCTTTGCTCTTCAGCTTTTTAAATATACTTTTCCCTGCAGTAAACATGTAGTTTTACAATCAAGAAAAACAATGCAACTGTTTTAATTTGGAGTACAAGTTAATCTTTTCTTTTCTTTTTTTTTTTTTTTTTTTTTTTATAAATGTACTTAGTACAGGGTCTCACTCTGCAGCTCAGACTCAGCGATCCTGTTTTCAGCCTCACTAGTCTGGGATTCCAGGCCCACACCACCATGCCCAGTCTCCATGGCCAGCTCAGTGCATCCTGGGGTGGAGCTGGCATGGCATGTGGTGCCAGCGATCAAACCCAGGCCCCTGTGCTTGGCTAAGCAGGTGTTTAATCTGTTCAGCTATCTTGCTGGCCCTTGAGATGATTTTCTTAGCTACAGCTAAGTTTTGTCTTCAAGTTAAGAGTGGATTAGGGGGCCTGGCCTTAGCTCAGTTGTTTAAGTGGCTGCTTCCACAAAGCTGTCAGCCTCAGGTTGCTGTAGTTCGATCCCCACAACACTCCAGCCAGCCAAACCACCTCTTAGGGCATTTAGAGAAAAAAAAAAAAAAACTTAAGAGTGGATTAGTAGGCTGGGGAGGTAGCTCGGTGGTCAAAGTGCCCACCTGGCAAGCGTAAGAACCTGAATTGAATCCTCAGTACTGCGTGCCAGCCCCAGAATACTGACCACTGAAACTGGGCATGGTGGTGCACACCTGTAATCCCACTGCTGGGGAGGCTGAGACAGGAGGATCACTACCAGTCCAAACTGCATAAGGAGACCTTGTATCAAATAAATAAATAAATATTTTTAAAAGGGTGGATTAGTAACCTTGTAGCAGTGATAAAAAAAAACAGGTAGATGTACTGATATGAGTGCGAAGATCAGACCAAAAATGAAGTGTAGAAGACTTGTGTATGCTGTGGTTCTGTATAACTGGTTCTGTATTTGTTTTTGAATAATTTTGTGCAAACAAATATTAAATGCATAACATTTTGAGAAGGACTTTTTTTTTTGTTTTGGTTGGCTCAGGCCGCCATATGGGTGTGTGTTGTAAAATGCATAACATTTTGAAGGATACTTTTAAAACTATTTTCACGTATTTTGGCAGGGTAAAAGGAACAATTTTAAACTTTCCTGCTTTAAACATGTTCATCATGGGGCTCTACATGTGTGATGGTCCTGTGCTGCCTAATGGGATTATCATGTTTATACATCCTGGTGGTTCAAGCTGGTGGGAATGCGTTGACTTCTTATTACCTTCATTGTAAAAGTGTGCAGCATAATATTTATATATGTCATAAAATTCATTATTTATATTAATGTAAATATTAATATTTATATATATCTGTGTACAGTGAAATTTAAACTGCTTTCAGAATGGGAACTCTTAGAAGATGGTTTAACTGCGTATTGTAGCCTTTGATATGGATTCTGATGGTCTTCTAATCCGCTTTTGAGTTAAACTGGAGAATATTTTTGCTTTGTTATAACCAGGGAATTATTTTCATATATTTCAATGTTTTCTACATAATTCTAAGCATCCTAGGTTATGGTGAAAGACAGCTCTTTAAATCCCTCCCCCTGCCCCATAGTATAGAGGATCAAACCCTTGGCTCCACACTTTAGGCAGCCCCAGCTCCAATTTAAAAAAAAAAATTTGCAGCTCTGTATTCCTGTGGCATGACAGCACATGGGAGTGCATGATGAACTAAAACTGCTCAGGTAGCACCAGCAAGTAAAAGAAAAGAGGGGGAAGAGGCCAGGGTTCCATAGTGCCCTTCAAAGAAACACCCCTAAGGACTGTATTAGGTCCCAGTTCTAAAAGTTCCACCACTTGTTACTAGTGCTATAGACTGGTAACTGAATCTCCAACACATGGGCCTTTGGACCTTTAAGATCCAAACTATAGCGAAGAATAATTGTATCTTGAAAACCATAATGGGGTAGCATTCATCACCTATCACATTAGCAGAAAGGCAAACGTTGGTGCTTTATTTTGTTTGTGAAGTTGTGCAGAACTATTATTATTTACTATTCATGTATACTACTGGTGGATGCTTAAATAGTAAGAATCCTAATGAAGTGAAACATGGCAACATATGCCAGATTAATTTGTCTTTCATTATGTTTGAGATTAGCAATATTTCATATGTTCAAGAGTCACGTATTTTTCTGTGAACTTTGTTCCTCTGCCCCGGTTGTTGGTCTTTATCTTGAACTCTAGGAACCCGTTGTATATATTAAAAGAAATAACCTTTTCTGATGTGAGTTGCAAATATTCTTTAAAAGTTACATTTCATACTAATGCAAGTGTTCTGTAGTCACTGGGAGTTAGGCAGGAGCAAAAAGAAAGGATGTGGGGCAGACAAAATAATAGATGTGGGTAACATAAGTAGTAACTAACAAACATTTGCATGTTCTTTTCCTCAGAAAAGGAAATGTTCAAGATGTTTGAGATTAGTAGTTAATGGAACAGATATGTGAGATTGATGTCTGCTAAGATGAATCTGTGGTGCTTTTGAAATATCTATAGGGCCAGGGAGGTGGCTCAGTGGAATAAGCGCTTCCCTGGCAAGCGCAAGGGCCTGAGTTCAATCCCCGGTTCCGCAAAAAAAAAAAAAAAAAAAGAAAGAAATATCTATAGACGAGATGAGTTGTGGTTGGCAGTAGGTTTTGAATATGTAGAATGAAGGTATCTGTGAACCAGGAACTTTATGGAAATACAGCTTTTGAAGACACAATGGAGCTGGGGATCGAACTCAGAGCTTTGCTCCTACCAGGCAAGCACTGCAGCACTGAGCCACTCCTCCCCTCTGGACCAAGGAAATATTTCTTAAAGTATGTCTCTAACATTGGAAAAGGTGGGAGTAAAAACATGGTCCTTTTCTCTGAAGGCCACGTAAAAAATAGACTGACTGGCATTTGGAGTTGAGGATATAATTTTTATCAATTTGTATACTGTCAGTGCTGCAGAAGAGGAGAAAATGGGGCTTGGTAACAGTAGAACGTTAGAGAGAGATGGAAGTCAAGCACAGTGAGAGGGAAGATAAAAGGTTTTCAGTGCTAAAGATTCCCGGCCTCACGTAAGCTTTTTCTTCTCTAGACTGAAGGGTTACATTTTTTTCTAGTGACGTGTTAATGATCATTTGACTGTTCTAATTTCAAAAAGGCACCTCTAGTTGTTTTGGGGCTGGGGAGATGGCTCAGTAGCACAAGGTCCTGAGTTCAATCCCCGGTGGTTGCAGGGCGCATGATTATTTTTCTATGAATGTCTTAGTTCTTTTTTTTTTTTTTGCGGAGCTGGGGATTGAACTCAGGCCCCTGAGGGAAGTGCGTATTCTACTGAATACTGGACAATTTATAGAGACTAGAAATTTATTCTCACAGTTCTGCAGGTTGGTTGATTCAAGGCCAGGCCTTTGCAGGTTAGGCCTGGAGTCTGCTTCTAGGATGGTGCCTTGAATACTTTGTCCTACAAAGGAGAGGAGGCCTCCTCCCATGGTAGAAGAGCAGGAGTGAATGGACTGACGCCCACAGCTTCTCCTAAGGTGGCGTTAGTCCGGGAGAACGCAACACCCCCATTGGGTCCCACCTCTTGACACTGTTGCATTGACAGTTTGCAGCATCTTAGTAGGAAAAATTTCAAACATGTGGAACAGTTGAAATAATTTCCCACTTAACACAACCCATCACTTAAGTTCTGTGACCTTGTATGATGGCTGCTGTATACTTACCCATCACTCCATTGTATTTTTTAATGTATTTCAAAATTGTAATCCCCTCATCTTTTATCAACAGGAATTTAAGAGAAGACAAAAACATTCACTATAGCAGTGGGTAAATGTTCAGCAAAATGTAAATGTATTAGAGAATACCCATTCACTCATTTTGTGTCTGTCTTGCTGTCTATTTTTACCAGATCATAAGGTGAATAAATAAAAGACTTAGACATTCTGTGTTTGGGGATTAATTTGATTTAGCTGACTTTAGAAAAGCGGGATTCTTAGGGAACAGTAACACCATAGCAGGTTCCTCTTGCCGCCCTGGAGCTTGGCTCGGTCCACACTCTGGGCTCTTCTCCAGGGGAAGCTCACTTCCTTCCGCAGGGCATCCTCAGGCTTTTATCTCCTTGCTGTGCTCATTGCACGGAGGACTGAGGTTGATGTGACATGTTTTTTAAAAATATCCCACAACATGACAAGCAGAATTTTATCTACTTCGCAGCTGTGTGAGAAAAACACCTCCTCATGGTTTCTTTGTCCTTTGTCCTGGCTCAGGGAGAGTACAGTGCTGTCAGTGCTTGGTTGCTTGCTTCTGTCCTTCACCCCTTCACTAAACTTGGGATGGAGAAAAAGGAGCTGATGGGATTTCTTGATTGGCAGATTACCATATCATTTGCTTCTAAAGTAGGAAAAATTTCAAGCACGTAGAAGAGTTAAAACAATTTTCCATTTAATAACATAACTCACCATTTAGATTCTATAAATTTTATCATGACTGCTTTATCACATATTCACCTATCAATCTTTTATGTTTAAATATGTTTTAGAACTGTAGTATCCCCTGCCCCTATCCTCTATCCCCTTTTATCACTAGCTGTGAATCCTTCATCCCACTTAAAAGATTTTTAGGAGCAATTCCTGCAATTCTGTCACCTCTGTGTGAGAACTGCCTCAATACGAGTATATCAGGTGAATTTTTTGGTAATGTGTCTTTCTTTCCTGTCAGCCAGAACGTTTATAAAGCAAACTGTACAGGTTATTTGGATGTTTGTTCTTTGGTTTACATGTATAACTCCCTTTGTTCTTTTCCATTCCCAACAGGCTCGAGTTATGTATGATTTTGCTGCTGAACCTGGAAATAATGAACTGACAGTTAGTGAAGGAGAAATCATCACAATTACAAATCCAGTAAGAGAACTTCATGTTGAAATTTGTCCCTTATGGAGTTATGTTTAAGAGCTTATGTTTTTAATAAGTTGATCATTAAATTTCTTCTGTTGCTTGTGAAGTATTGACGGTACATTAAGATACTATTAATGAACAGTGAAAAAGTAAATCCCCTAAGGATAGCTGGGTATATTACTGAGGTTATTATGTCTCTCTGTTGTGTAATTTTTTATTAAACTTTCCAGACACCCTATAGTAGTAGTCCTGGAGCTTAGGTCGGTGAGCTCTGTTCTGTACGCATGACACAGTGCCCTGGACACATGAGGGCTGGTGCCGACTCCTGCACAGCTCAGACTGCTGATCACTGTCACTGTGGCTCTGAGCTTCATCCTTAAATTAGATTATTGGAAAGCAGTTTATAATATTTAGACTGCATTAGCTTAGCTCCCAGCAGAGTGATCTCTGCTGAATTACACTTCATTGCTTCAGCCTTGATTCACATAAGAAGCAGCTGTGTATAACGAACATGCCTGCATCTTTACAGAGCCGTGTTTGAACACATGTGCATATCCGTGCTTTTCTTGAGAGTGTGCTGTGTGTACACACACACTTCATATACACGTGCATATCTCTATATCAGGAAGTGTACTGTGCTCTGAGCATCCATGTGATCTTTTGTCTGAGGCGCTTTCTCTTAGAGTTTTGTCATGTTTCCTTTTAATAAAATCAAATCTTCATGTACTGTTTTTTTTTTTAAGTTAATCTTTATTTATTTATTGTGTGTGTGTGTGTGTGTGTGTGTGTGTGTGGCCAGCTCAGCCCACCAGGGGGCGAGGCTGGCTGGCATGTGGTGCTGGGGAATCGAACTGTGGTCCCTGTGCTTTGCCAAGCTTGTTCCAAATAGGTGCTTTAGACCACTGAGCCATCTCTCCAGCCCCTTCATGTACTGTTGAATGACTATATGAGTATTATTTACGTTCCTCTGTGTGATAGTTGCCTCAATTGTGTAATTTTCCTTTTTTAAAAAATTATTTTTAATTATTTTTAAATTTTTATTTATGTGTGTGTGTGTGTGTGTGTGTGTGTGGCCAGCTCAGCCCACCAGGGGGTGGGGCTGGCTGGCATGTGGTGCTGGGGGATTGAACCGGGTCCATGTGCTTTGCTAAGCTTGTTCTAAGTAGGTGCTTTCGACCCCTGAGCCATCTCACCAGCCCTAATTTTCCTTTTTATATGTAACTTTGTTGTAACATCCTTAAGGTATAGAGTTATGAGATGAACCCTATTTGATAAGGTTTTTAGAAAAATTATCTCAATTTCTAGTATTTTGCTCAGTGCTTATATAGCCGAAGAAGAAACCAAAACAGGTGTGGAGAATTAGTCTTTGTACTTGTAAAATGAGTAGAACTTTATCGTACCTCCCTTTTTTTACCCCCCACCCCCAACCCCAACTTCCTTGACACCATGTGACTGCCTTTGTCACAGGGCTCTTTGACCTCCCTGGCCCAGGTTTCTGGACAGGTATCCTCCCTTGCCCCCTGCTTCCACCTCCAGGCGTTGTGCATAGTGTCTCCTCTGTGTCACCTACACACTGAATATGTGTGCAGCCCTGACCAAGGTGCCTTGAGATACAAAACTTTGCCCTTGCTCTGGGCTCTTTGTCTGCATAACTGTGTTGTCTCCCCCCCCTCCGAATGTTTCTAACGCAAAATAACAGTTTTATTTGGCACGATAGAGCATGTCACGTTCTATATTCCTCTCCACATACCTCTCTAGCAATCCTTTTGCAATTCCCTCTTCCCTCTGCTTTGTATTTTCTTCCCCATGTCATTCCATCTTCAGCCTATTTTCCTCATGTGACATACATATTCTCAGACTTTTATTGCACGCTGTATGCTAAATCTGTAGTATTTGCAGCTTAACCAGATCTTTCAAGCCTCAGATTTGTCTGTCCAGCTGGGTCTTAGACATCCTTAGTTTTCTCATAAGCACATGCAGTGCTTGCCAGTGCATTACCTAGGCCATACTAATTCTCTTCCTTAACTTTGTTGTTGTGATACCATATCCACTTAGGCACCCAGGTAAGGTTTCCAGTTGAAGCCTTTGTCTAGAGGCTTGCTCACATGTAACCTCTCTCCTCTGTCTCTGCTGTTGGTGTGGTACATTGAGCTCTCATCTCACCTGACCTGTGCCTCTTCCTGCTCGTCTTAAAGCACCAGCTCCCCATGTCACTCCTCCCCAGTAGCTGGCTCCCAGTCATTGGTGAGCCTGAAAGATACCCTGCCATTTGGCACCACTCTTCCTCTGCAGTCTTTTCCTGTGTGTGCAGCCAAAACATATGCTCATGTATGCACAGGCGTTACACAACTGTACATACTTGCATATTTACACTTCCCTGCATATACAAGCACATGCATACCTACTGTCATATATGCACATACACTTAGGAAGTACACATTCTTATACCTATACACACCATCTCATGAAGATTCACAAGCTCACATTCTTAATTATTGTGTATACAGGTTCTCACAAGTGCACATACTTACACACGCACAGTCCTATCAGTTGTGATTTTGCCCTGTTGTTCATGTTATTGCTCTACCTGATATTTCCTCTTCTAGTTAAGCTACTCTCAATTTATCTGTCATGAAACAGAATACTCTCCTCCTCCTTTCTTTATTAATCTAGAAGCTATCTTTTCAAAAAAATGGAATCTTATTTTTTTTAATATATTTGGTACAGGGTCTCACTACACAGCTCATACTCATAGTGATCTTCCTGTTTTGAGCCTTCCCAGTGCTGGGATTATAGGCATGCACCACCATGCCCAGACTCTGTGGCTAGCTCAGCATGGGACCAGCATGCCAGGGATTGAACCAAGACCCCTGCGCTTGCCTAAGCTGGTGCTTAGTCTGCTGAGCTATCTCATTGGCCCAAAAGTAGAATCTTTTATGTGATGCTATAATGTCTCTATTTGTTTGAATGTATCACCCACTTTAAACTGAGATTGGAAACTACATCTTATTCTTGTATTTTCCTACCCACAGCATGCTAAACTATTTGTACTGTTGGGTATAAAGTAGGCACATTTATTTTTATTATTTTAAATTATTTTATAATATTTTAAATACTTAACAGGAGAGAAAATATATTAACACCTTTGTCCCCATCATTCATCTTTAATAATTTTCACCCAACCCATGGCCAAGCTAATGTCATATTCCTCCTAGGTATTCTTCCGCCTTCCCTGTCCTACAATGCACTTAATTGTTTTGAAGCAAATTCCATGTATTATTTCATTCATAAAAATTTCAAGTCAGGTGTGGTAGTATGTATCTTTAGTCTCAGTTTTCTGGAAACTGAGGCAGAAAGATCACTGGAGCCCAGATTTCTAGACCAACCTGATCAGTGTAGTGAGACCTTGGCCAAACAGACAAACAAAACAAAACAAAAAATTTTCAGTGCACATCTCTAAAAGTTAGATTTTACCATTGTGGGTACCTAGCAAAATTATTCCTTACTACTACCACCAGATAGTCCATATCAGTAGTTCAGTAGCTACATAAACTTTGCTGACTTGAAAGTTGTTTCTTTTAGCTTAAAAACTCATTAGAATTTTCTGTTTTGTTTTTGGGTTTTGAGACACAGTCTGGCCTTGAGATCACTGTCTTACTTGAAACGATCTTCCTGCCTCAGCCTCCCAAGTGCTGGGATTACAGGCATGTGCCACCACATCTGACAGAAACTCTTTAGAATACTGATGTCAACAAACAATATTAGATATACTCAACCTCAAATTTGACAGATTACTGTAGAAGATCATGTTTCCTAATTTTTTTGTTCTCTGGGATAATATGTCCTGGAAAATATACTCAATTGTCTTCTTTCTTTCTTTTTCTTTTTTTTTTTTTTTTTTT